ACGAAGCGAAAGGAAGACCTACTAGATATTAACTAAATTATAAATATATCAATTCATGTGAATATGATTGAAAAATTTCATTTTTTTTTCTGAAAAGGTGGTGTCTATTTACTTGTGACCACGCTGTATATATATATATACTCCAGGATAATATTACTATACTAACATACTCCAAGATAATGCTACGTATAATATATTTTTATATACTCCAGGATAATATTACGTATAATATATACACACTCCAGGATAATGTTGCATATAATAACATACTCCAAGATAATGTTACGTATAGTATATATTTATATATATATATACTTCAGGATAATATTACGCATACTAACATATTCTAGGATGATATTACGTACAGTTTGATATGTGTGACTGACAAGCGTTTCTTAATAACGGTATAATCCAAACTGCTAATAACAAACATATTTTCATTATGATTATTAAATGTTGTGTGAGAAACAGATCCCTAAACTCTAAACTGTTTTTCAGTCCTACTATGACCCTGTCTGGTTGTAATTTCGATTTTGACTAAGTTGGTTTATACCTTTCCTTTCGATGCCCATAGCAACCGATCTGTGATTAAGCCAACGTTCATTTACCGTATATATCCCCTTGCAACTCGCCAGCCTTCTACGAGCGCCATCTGTTGCCTTTAGGGTCATACACTGGTGCTCGTCAGAGAATCACTAGGTTTAACGCGTTCGACACGTTGACGTTAGTGCGGTTGTATCTCTCTATAAGCTCAGTCGCAGTTACTCGTATTCCTATTATCTATATGGAACTTGTACACGTTTTCACAAAGATAAACTTACCATTATATGTATATATCGCCGCCTTGATATCGCTGTATATATTGTTTATACATAGCTTTAGTCTAGTTGTTATCATAAACGTTTGTATCGTTGTTTGACAAAGTCCTAATGAAATGAGAAGAAATTATCTTTTCTATGTCGTAAGTTTGTTGTTTCTTTCAAGAAATTAGAGACAGAATAATTATACCTGGAACGAGGATACACTGTACTTTAATATAATACGGAACACAGTCGTCAGCTCGAAGTTTTCGTCACACCATCGATAACATGCTTCAGCTTTACCGAAAAGGGGTACGTCTTCACTGGCTACGAAAGTAACAGCTAATAGAAAACAGTGCAGAAAATCAACATTTCTCAGGTAAGGCATCCATTTAATTAACAGAAGAAAGAAATAATCAAATTCATCTTGTGACTTAAAAATCGGAGAAAAATGTCGACGATTATCTGAACGTGTATATGTCATTCTTGTATATAGTTAAGTTAAGTTAAGTGCTAATCCCCCCTCCCCCCCTCACACACACACTCCAATTACGATCTTTTAACTAAAATTTTCTCACACATCCATATACTGTTCTTTAGTTCACAAGACCTGGCATGGCCTGGTGGTTAGGACACTCGGCACACAATCTATATAGGTCGCGGGTTCGAATCTTGTCACAGAACATGATCGTTCTTTCAGCCATAGAGGACGTTATAAAGTGAGGGTTAATCTCACTATTTGATTAGAGCAGCCCAAGGATTAGTGGAGGATGGTGTTGACAAGCTTTCTAATCCCTCACGTCAACACCAGTGACAGTATCCCGCCCTTGAGTAACTTGGCGTGAAATTCAACAATCAAACGTCTACTCACCATCGCTAACTTGGCGTGAAATTCAACAATCAAACGTCTACTCACCCACCCATCCCACTCATTAAAGTTGCTCTCATTGACGTATTATCTCCCTATTTTTCTGTTTCATCCATAGATACGTATATGTATAATTACTAATTTTGATCACGACTACTTCTGAAGAGTGCTCGTCTATTTGCCACTTTCTGTTTCTGCTATCAATAGGCTCCCACTTTATTAGTAAACATCTACGTCACTTTGTACCGAAATTACCTGATCGCTAGAAAAATTACATTAAGATAAAACTTTGTATTTCTCTGGAGAGTGTGGTACTGGCGACGTTTACAATTTTTCATATTTCTAGATGGAATAAAATGGAAGCCGAGAAGCTTTTTTTACACGTAAACCCGGGATAACAAGTCTTAAATGAAATGTTTGTTGTATGGAACTGTAAGCAACTTTATGAGATGTAGTAACATCAATACTTTCGTAATCTATTACTCATTTGTGGACTTCGCCTTGCAGATAGAAACTATAATATAAAAACACGCAGATCTTAAACGATATTTTAAGGTCACTGAGACATACGTATATATATATTTGGTATGATTTAGTAAAATAATTTGAGCCTTATGATTTTAAAGTACAAGATGGACGTCACAAAAAGAGGGGGTTTCACAAATACTTATGTCTAGTTTGGTTACATGCTATTAGTGTTTTCTTACTTCTCCAACTCACGCTTTAATGTGAGTGTTACGAAACAGGTTCGCTGAAACGTAATAAGAATTACTTACAGTTTTTGGAATAAATAGCGAAATATACAATCTGTTTTGACTGAATTTCTCAATTACAGATGGTTTTTCTCGCTAACCTGAAAGTTTGTCCTAATTAGAGACTCCTGTGTTCATGCGTAGCCGCCATTAGTATAAAACTGTATGACCAATTGGCAGCATCCGCCGGTTGAATTTGTGTGTTTTCTTATAGCACAGCCAAATCGGGCTATATGCTGTTTCCATCGAAGGGGAATCGAACCCCAGATTTTAGCTTATTAAATCCGAAGACTTACCGCTGTCCCACCAGGGGACCCGCCGGTTGAAGTGACTACTCTTAACTAAATAACAGTATTGACTGTTACTCTTATAATGCATCAGCGGACACTCTCCACCAAACAATAGTATTGACTGTTACTCTTATAACGCATCAGCGGATACTCTCTACCAAATAATAGTATTGACTGTTACTCTTATAACGGGCCCTCAACTACTCCTTACCGAATAGTTAAATTGATTGTTACTCTTAAACGCACCAGCGGTTATATCGTATCCACAGCTGAAAGTACGAACTCAGAACCCTGTTATTCCTTGTCCGATTCCTAACCTCTTGGACGCGCTCGGGTCTATAATTTGACAGAGTATGATTGCAGAGACTAACTGTTTAATAGTAGCTTGTCTAAACGATATTAGTTGTAGCTAGCCAGCTCGCTTATTTATTCTATAAAGTGATTGTGAGATTTAAAGTTAAAATAAGTTGATTTAATAAATTAGCCAACCATTATCTATTTGATACTAATATACTAGAAAATTACTTACTAACATGCCAAATTCTTATCGGGGTTTACGACTTTATAATCCGAGGTTTAATCCCCGCGGCAGATATAGTGCACAAAGCCTTACCTTAAAATACAAACAAGCGTTAGCAAATATCGTTAGTCATAGGTATTTTCACTAAAGCTTAACTACAAAATAGCCAACCATTCTACTATTCAGTGCTAGCGTAGTAAAAAAAAAAAGAACTAGTAGTTACCATGTCAAAATGTTACCATACACTATTAATATAAGGTAAATTATAGTAAACTTAAAATTAACATACAAACTATCGGGTTTCTCGGTGGGACAGAGGTAAGTCTACGGGCTTACAACGCTAGAACCCGGGGTTCGATTCCCCGTGGTGGACACAGCAGATAACCCACTATTGGCTTTGCCCTGAAAAAATACAAACTTATCCGCGTGTGTAAAAATTCCCTACCCCAGAAATTAAGTCTCATGTTTAAGGTTAACTCGTACAAAAATTAGAATTATATCCAGATATTTATTTCAAACACTAAGCATTAATTAATTACAATCCATTAAAATCAAATTTAGAATTTCATTTTAGATGACAAGCTCCAATATAAAGTATTGAAAATAAAACTCTGTGCCTACTTTTTTTTACCATGGAAATAAATAATGCTCTCTTCGTAATTTGTTGCTTTGTATGTCGTTATTCTAGCATTATAGAATACTAGCGAATTGTAGGGCAACATTGCCTTGAATGTTTGATACAGAATACATCATCTAGAAACAACTCGCGAGGTTTTGTTTTTTATCGTGTGATTAAAAATACAAACGTAGTAGATGCGCGATTGCATGGTTTTTAATGAATGTCGTATATAGTCATTAATAAATAACACTTAAATGGTACTACAGGGCAAACATAACTAACCAAAACGCTTGAACTTGCTCGACAAATAGCTCGTGCAAACCCTCAGGCCTCATATACATTTGATTTTGTTTGTCTGTTGTTACTTCTTTACAATCTTACATAGATAGATAGTTAATTTCTTTCCAGAAATGTCTTTTATACATATATATTCCGAAAGAAGGAAATAAAATTTACCAGCTCAGCAACCGCAAAAGCCAAAAATAAAATCAATGCAATGAACAGATTAAACTGTAAAACACATTTTCATCAAGCGGAAACTTTGCCTGTGCTGTAAGTGCTTATATATTTTTAACTATAAATTCCGTGCAAAAACAAACACGAAAAATATATTATTTTATTTTGTAGAAAAATAAAAGGTATTTAACCAAACAAAAATTTTACTGGAAGGTCCGTGCGCTCTTAGTTAAAATAACAATGATCGTAGCCTTGTTGTACTTCAAAAGATGTATACTTTGTCGTTAGTTAGTCCATCAAACAAACAATCCCCTCTACCACAATAAACAAGTGAAACAGTTAGTCCATTAACAAACAATCCACTCTACCACAATAAACAAGTGAAACAGTTAGTCCATTGAACAAACAATCCCCTCTACCACAATAAACAAATGAAACAGTTAGTCCATTGAACAAACAATACACTCTATCACAATAAACAAATTTAATGTCAAAGTTGTGATTCAATGAATTACTGTATTTATCTCATACGAAGATGTGATCTTCACAAGTCCCATAACATCCTTTTCAGAAACTTCCACCAATTAAACAGTCTGTTAATATTAACACTTAGCTCTTTTAAGGCTGTATATAATCTTTTTTTTTATAACGTGCTAAACTAGGAATCAATGATGATCTTCTACCCGTTAATATCCCCTATATATCTTAACAGTCATAAACGGCGCACATTTGCTCTGACCCAAGACATAAGCGAAACTGAGAACGTTGTTTTCGGGTCTCAGTTCATATATAATCAAACTGTTCTTTATTCGGAGTCTCTGTTCATCATTGGCCCTAGCTAGGACCTTAAACAAATTAGAATGGACAGGAACGCTGCATTCACCTAGGGCATGTATTATGATGATGATTTTTAAGTTAAGTCCAATATACTTATACACGTTCTAGGTGAATGTGACGTTTCTGTCCATTCTAATTTGTTTATGGTCCTCGTTAGGGCCAATGATAAACAGAGCCTTCGATTAAAGAAAAGTTTAATGATATATAAACGAAGGCCCAAAAATCAACGTTCTCAGTTCCGCGAGTACTCTAATGTCAAAGTTATAACAATATGACTTAAAACATCTCTACATATTTTAATAGTCAAAGGTGATATACATTTGCTCTGATCCAAAGCATCTCTACATATTTTAATAGTCAGAGGTGATATACATTTGCTCTGATCCAAAACATCTCTACATATTTTAATAGTCAGAGGTGATATACATTTGCTCTGATCCAAAACATCTCTACATATTTTAACAGTCCGAGGGGATATACATTTGCTCTGATCCAAAACATCTCTACATATTTTAACAGTCCGAGGGGATATACATTTGCTCTGATCCAAAACATCTCTACATATTTTATCAGTCCGAGGGGATATACATTTGCTCTGACCCATATTCCTTGAGGTTTAGAATGCAGTGAACATCACGTGAATGTGAAAGTGTACATAAAAAAAACACACTAATGTCTGTGTTATCATTAGAATCCAGTCATGACGACGAATAGTGTCTGGAAGGATGTGGATATTTTGTAGCTCTTATAAAACTTCACAATTATGTAAGAAGATGATATATGAGAAATCGAAGAGTTCGCGTTTATACTGGAACACGTGATCATTAGTATACTAAACTCATATGTAAATTTATCTCCCAGTTAAATGTTTTAACGGAAGAGCACGAAATTGGAAGTTTTTGTTTTTCTGTTATACATGGGTTTCTTCCTTTCTATACATGGTTTAACCCCTCAAAACCAGAAGTAGCTACCAACTTTAGGACGGACAACTGCAAAACTTTTAATATCTACAAAACATAGAATATTGGAAATCTCTA